AWTWYSRTMSKWTGTTAAAGCCCTTTGAAAAAGAATAATAGCTTATCTACCCAAAAGTCGCAAGTTCTTCCATCAACAGCCTCCTTACTCTCATTGGATAAAGGCCGAACGTGAGCAAATGGCTCTTGGAAATGCAGCTTTGAGCCCTCATGGTAAAAATGCCAGCGGCTGCCCCCATTTCAGAAAGACACACTTAAAACCGTAGTGAAGTTGTAATGTGTCATTGCAGCATTCATGACAAACTAGACGCTTGAGGAGTGTTAACTCGGGCTTTGTTTATAGCCATGGCATTAACACATAACAGGAGTACAATTATAACATACATAATTTGCATGATGAGATCTGAATTGTTGTACTTTTATTGCCACTGTAACATCATTATGTTCATGTGCATTATTCATATTGACAACTTTTTCTGGTAGATCATAGTGTTCATCATGTCTTCTACTAAGCACATACACCTCCATGCGAAGAGCAAACCAACATTCAAATCCTGTGAAGCTAGCTTTGTCAATTGTTCTGTCTGATGTTTCTTAAACAATGAAGTCCAACTCATGTCATTACACCATTCATGACAAATTATCACAGTCGCATGTCTTGTCATCTAGTCAAAGCATCTTTTGTCCTAGTCTTTTACCCTTTTCCATTCCTAGTTAACTTGGTTAAAAACAATTGTTTTTCACCAACTTACAGTAGTTGAAAATTCTAAAATGGCCATGGTAAAGGGTTTTTTAAAACTGGCGTTTCAAGAGTTATCCTTTTGTCATAACGTATCATGAGACAAAGGGCCAATGCTTGAAGTGTTACCTTCAGAAACCCCTTTATGCTGGCCAAATTTTCATTATTAACAGTTGATAAAACCAAATTATACCTTCCCACCAACACAGCAGCATAGTGTTTTTAGTCCCCCTTTAGTAATTGGTTATCGTCAGTTTTAAGCAAAAATAGGCGTGCTTAGGGAAGACAAAGAAAATTTAAGAGAATAGGAAATGTGTAATTATGATTATTACATTGCACGCAATTGGGCAAGATGAAACAATTCTTGTGTTCTGATTGGCTACCCGAGCAGGCAATTATGGCCCCATCTTGCCCACTTGGGATTGCCAGCACTGATCCTGCACATCAAAAAATAGAATAACAGCTACGTTTGCTTCTCTTGGACAATTTTGGCAATGGAAATGCAAAAAGTGGCAGAAGATAGTCAAATCAAAGAAAAGAGAAACAACTCTCATGACTTTATCATGCTACAAACAAAGGTGGCTTTCTTTCCCAGCTCTTGAAGTAAACAAGTCATTCTTAATTCTTGATTAAGGGAAATCTCTTTGCAATATGATAAATCCTTTATTAACCAAGCTTGTTCAGTCAAGATGGCTGGATATCAGCATCATTCTGTTTCTGCATATTTATGGACCTGGACTTCTTCTTGGACAATAAAAATGCAAAAAGAAAAACTTGGTCAATATCCAGCTTTATTACACGACTCGGGCAGTCAGAGGGCCAATAACTAAAATCAACCAATCAAAATGCTCTATTGCCAGTCAATATTCTCTCAGTATTGGACCGGGCACTGTCCCGAATGGTCCCGAATGATACCGCACTTGTGTCCCTTTGAACTTCAGTCATATAATAAATCTCTTATTAACCAAGCTTGCTCGGGACCGTACTGGAAGAATATCGCCCCTCGGTCTTTTTTCTAGGGACTGAGCACAGCGAGGTCCGTACTGTCAAGACCTCGGGCTGATATTCTCCCAGTGCGGCCCTCACGCTTGGTTAATAAGATATAATTATATCTTGAACTCGTGCTTGGTTAATAACTCGTATTCATTGGCTTGTTACAAGTGAGAAAGCTGACATCGTAGTCAAGACCCAGGGACAGGACAATTTATATTTGGAAGACATATGCATCATATTCCTAACACAAAGGTTTTCTTACTCTGGAGCATATAATTATATATATCATCATTTACAATGCTTGAAATGAATCAATTCACTAGGCTATTTTTTTTTATTTCAGATACGTTCTTGGCCATGAAGCCATGAAAAAAATGGCCACTTCCAATATTCTTATCTCAGGTCTTAAAGGTCTTGGAGTTGAAATAGGTAAAATATTCATGATGTCACATTCCTGATATACTGAAACCTATGCAAATATCTCCTTTAAACATTTAACACTGTGCCATTCCAAAATATTGCAATACCATTTAATGGTATTAGGTTAATGGTGCATTGTATAGTGTGCCAAACTTCTGCAGAATTTATCTTTGAACCTTACTTATAGATGTTAATGTACATGAAAGCATCTAATGTATACACTGTTATGGTTCAAATTTTAACTTCATTTGAAGTTTTGCAATTCAGTTGTGAGTTGTTCAACATGTTCTGTTGTGTAATGTTATGATTTTACACAAAAGGCACAGTAAAAAGAAAAAAAATTAACCAGTTTGAAATATTTTACTATAAGGAAACATACGAGCCACAGGTTACGGGATAAGTGCATGTTGATATTGACACTGGAAGTAATTTTTTCTTTTTAATTTGGTTTTCTGTAGCAAAGAATGTTGTACTGGGTGGTGTGAAGTCAGTTACTCTTCATGATTCAGGGAATGTGGAAATGTCAGACTTATCTTCTCAGGTAAAGAACCCTCTCGACTCACTTCCAATGTTGTTTAGGTGTTTCTGATACCCTTATTCCTTATACCCTTGTTAATAGGCTGTGGGAAAACCTGCAAATAAACAACTCAATGTTTTTAAGAGCCACTGACCATAAATATAGAGAAACTGCCAACAGTTGCAAAATTTAATTTCTTAATTAAATTTTTTTTTCTTAAAGAAAAACATTTAAAAGCAGGATTGCATCATGTTGTGGCCTACAAAGTTGCTGAAGTTGCATAAGTTTTTATTATTTTACAGGGGGAAACAGTGGCCATCTAGGGGTATTTTGAACTTTTCGATTTTTTGGAGGAAAGAAATGTGTGATAGAACTTTTTGCTATAATTTTTGAAAAAGGTTCATCAAAAGGGTCTTTTAGGAAAAATAAAATGAATTACAAAATTTTGCAACTGTCAGCTGATTCTCGATATTTATAGTCAGTGGCTCTTAAGACAGTATAGCACATGGTGAAAAGGCTGAGCAAAAAGAGCAAGCCAGATTATTTGAAATATCTTGAAGCCAGAACCTCGTGCTTTATTTTACAATTTTTATAATCCAGTTTAATCACATGACAGCTTGACAGCTACCACTCTTAACACAAAAAATACAAAAATGTTCATGCAAGTGTCGTGCTCTCCTGAGTAACCCTTAAGATCGTATGAGTAGAAATGAAGTAGCAAGTATATTACGTTATTGAGGTGTGCTGCTTCACTTTCTGTAAGAATTACTGGACACAGATTTAAAAATACAATGAATGGGTATGCATTTTTCCTATGGTAGTTCTTTCTTCAAGCGGAGGACATAGGCAAGAACAGAGCAGAGGTGTCTTTGAGCAGAATATCAGAACTCAACAGCTATGTGAACATGTCTGTTTTTACTGAGCAACTGACAGAAGAATTTTTAGGAAAATTTCAGGTTAGTTCTTTTGCAAAATGCAAGGCTAAAGCTAATGAACAGTACCATACATTTACTAGGGGTTTGGGTGAGTGAGGTTCATAATATAGACATGTAGTAAGTATTATACAATACAAAGACAATTAGGTCTTCACCATTATACCAACTTTTCACAAGATTTGTTTCATTTCTGGGAATGTAAGTGTCATGTTGTTTGTGTTGAAAACGCCAGAAAGCAACCTATACAGTTATCAATAATGCGAGACTGTTTGGTAAACCTATTCATTATCCTAGGCAACCAATTGTTAATCCCACAAATGTTGCTTTTCATGTAAAAGTAATGTATTTTTTATTAATGTTGCACAAGCCCTCTGCAATGTTTTCTTAGCTTTTCATGGCTTTGTTTTAAAATACAGTAATTAAAAAGTTCTGACCAGTTGATGTTTTTCTAGGTTGTAGTGCTGACACAGTCTCCCCTTGAGGAACAACTTTGGGTTGGTGACTTTTGCCATGCAAGAGGAATTAAGTTTATAATTGCTGACACAAGGGGATTGTTTGGGTTAGTATCTTGTTATCAACATACAAAGAACACGCCTGCTAAAAGAGATGTTTTATCCCTAAGAACTCAATACATTCAGAATTTATTTGTAGTAACCAAGTAAGGGAAGAAAACAAAGCCTTAATTTTTTGTCTCAGGGGGCAGGTTATCGGTTTTATTTAGTTGAGGCTCAGTTTCATCATAAATAAAGATTGCTTTACTATCATTGGCTACCTTTTACTGGTGGTGGCAATTGGTGTGGGGAGAGAGGGGAGGGTGGTGGCAATTGTTGTGGGGAGGGAGGAAGGGAGCAAGAGGGAGAGGAGAGGGGATGGGGACAGGTTGTTTATTTCTGATAGATAAAGTCATTATACATGTACACTATTACAGATATAGGCTCCAAGGCAATCCAAGGTGGATTTCTGGGTGGGTTATGGTGTTATGTTCTAAGGCATTACGCGAGACATTGCACAAGAACTTCTTTTTGGAAAATGGCTGCCATGGAATTACCCACTGAATTGTTATGGGATTATTTGTGATTGACCAGTATTCCATTTAGGGGCAATCATGCCTTATTTGTTTATTATGAAATGCCAATTTCTTAACCATTTTTATTTCAGTCAAATATTTTGTGACTTTGGAGAGAGTTTTACAGTTGTGGATACAAATGGAGAACAGCCAATCAGTAACATGATTTCTTCAGTTTCAAAGGTGACAAATTCTATGTAAAGAATCTAAGAAAAAAGCTGTAAGGACACTGATTAGTTGATTTGGCTTGCAAGGAGTGTATTACATGATCAAGTTCTCTATCTTCCACTCCTATTTGTAGAGACTGTTGGAAAAGTAATCTTAAAGTGGAATTTAGTGACAAACAGTTAGCGATAAAAATCACTGATGTTAGCAGTCAAAGTAGTTTAATTTACTGAAGTAGGTGATAATGAAGTAGTTTAAACCTCTTTTAAGTTAGTCTTTTATTTCAGTATGATTCATTGAGTAATACAGTAAAGTTTGATTTTTGCATGAATGGTCAATTGTCAACAGACAGGTTTACCATCGCCTGGAGGATCAGAGTACACAGTCTGAAGTATGTGTTTAGAACATTACCCTGAGTAATAAATGAATCTGATTTGATTTTTTTTCAGGACACAGATGGTGTGGTGACTTGTTTAGATGAGCAGAGACATGGGTATGAATCTGATGACTATGTCACATTCTCTGAAGTACAGGTAATGGATATTAGTACACGACTCGGGCAGTCAGAGGGCCAATAACTAAATAAAATCACACCAACTCAATTGGGGGTAACTGCGAATCAACCAATCAAAATGCTCGATTGCCTGTTAATATTCTCTCAGTATTGGACCGGGCACTGTCCTGAATGGTCCCGAATGATAGCACTTGTGTCCCTTGGAACTTCAGTCATATAATAAATCTCTTATTAACCAAACTTGCTCGGGACCGTACTGGAAGAATATCGGCCCGCTGTCTTTTTTTGTATGGACCGAGCACAGCGAAGTCCGTACTGTCAAGACCTCGGGCCAATATTCTCCCAGTACAGCCCTCACACTTGGTTAATAAGATATACTTATACAACAACAACAACAATTAATTTTATTGATTTACAACAATTACAATTTGAGAAATGCCTACCCACAATTAATTAAAAACTAGTCAAGGCAGGTAGGTATAATTAAGGTGGGATTATCACTGGTACTTACAAGGATATTATGAACATAGGATCACAAATTTACAAGTGATATTGACAAATTAGGCTCAAACTACAATTTCAAAGGAGATGCGATGGTTTTACAGTGAGCATGTTCTAGACTCTAGCTCAAGATGTCGGGGTTCTTGTACACATTGTACTACATGCCATACCTTATACAGCTATTTTTAAGATACAGTGCATAATTGTCTGGGGCTTGAAGAGGGTACACATTGTTTTAATGGTCCTATACTGCTTTCTTTTTTCAGGGGATGACTGAATTGAATCAATGTGAACCAAGAAAAATTAAAGTTTTAGGTGAGCAATTGATTCTTCTTCTTCAAATGAAAGTGCAACTCTATAACAATAGCCAGGCAGGTGCTGCTGTTGTAATTTGATGAAATAATCCCCAGTAGGGTAAACTTCCCAATATGTGTGTATTAATAGTATGTTTGTACTGATTTGATTGCATCTCAGAGCTATTATCAGTCGCGTACATTCACGAGTTGAAAGGGGCTGCTAGTACAAGAGTGCTGTGTTATTTTCGTATTTCTCGTGGTTGTTAGCCACAAGAAAATAAATTTGATGTACAGCCTGTATCATTTTATTACCCTTTAGGTCCTTATACATTCAGTATTGGTGATACCAGTGGCCTATCAGATTATGTTCGTGGTGGCATTGTCACCCAAGTTAAAATGCCAAAAGTAGTCAAATTTGTAAGTATCTAAATGACATTGTTAATAGTGTTTGGGATAACTACAAAGAATTGTGTAATTACTGGTACACAATGCATGTAATGTTATTATCTGTCTTTTCATTGCTTTCTATCGTGTGAGCATGCATGCTTTTCAAAAAGGTTACCATGACTTCCTGTTCCTGAAAACAATACTTTCCAAGTATCTCATGTATTTCTGAAGGCCAACAAAAATCCAAGGCGCAGGAATATTCATATTCGTGAGCATTGGAGCTTAAGCATCTCAGTGTTAAACAATACTTTTCTTTCTTTCTTCTTTTTTTTTTTTTTCTTTTTTTTAACAAGAAATCATTTAGACAGTCTCTAATGGAGCCAGAGTTTGTACTGACAGACTTCGCAAAAATGGAACGACCTGCGCAGCTTCACCTTGGATATGTTGTGAGTTTGTTATTTATTGTAGATTCTTTTTTTAAATTTCCCAATTTTTTTAGGTTATTTTACAGTTACTGTTACAGTCGCACAAGTACTTTATATTTAGTACCTAAACCTTTCCAACCCAACATAAATATATATAATTATGTATATATTCTCCACACTATTCTTTACACATTTCCTGCAGTATTATCATTGAGAATTTGTTAAACAATCAAAAGCTTAATATTTGGTTATCAGTTATTTCCTTTACTCTCATGACCTTAATGTTTGATTGAGAGGTACTTCTAAAACTGTGTAAGGAGAAATTAGTTGGCAGTCACTTGTTAGGATTCAAGGATCAATTTAATAGTGGTATCGTAGTAGATAATATAATACAGAATGGCTCCATATCTAAGTAAAAAAATAGCACTGACCATCAAAGAATTCTGCAAAGTAGCTGCAAAATGAGATGGCTTTCTGATGCCAGATGAACACCCAGTCTTAACTAAATGTAGATACAATCCTGTTCAGTGAAAGATTATTGCCTTATAGTATAACACCTAGTGTGTAAGCAGTGATTATGTAGTTAATTGGAAATATTAACTTTGATCTTATTTGCAAGGCATTGCACAAATATGAAAAAGAACATGGTGCTCTTCCAAGACCAAGAAGCAAGGTATATTTTGAACAGATTACCACTGCAGTAGCTGTAAATTGACTAAGTATACATTTTCTAATGTGCATAGATCATCTGTGTATCTTTCTATCTTTGAAAATTATTATCTTTGTTAATGAGAGACTGTAACAACCAAGACATGAATTCCATCCTTTCTTTAATGAAGGAAGATGCAGAAAAGTTTGTTGCACTGGCCAAGAATCTTAACTCAGAGAAAATATGTTCAAAGGTGAGGAATATTGCTTCTGTCTTGGGTAGATTTACCCATTGGTAGGTTAAATTAATCAAGGAAAAGTCATAATTATTATCTCAACAACCACGCATACAACAAAGTTGTTAATATTGTTGTTTTCAAACAGACTTGCACAAAAATTATCCCTTGATTGATTTGCTCTATCAAACTAGTGGAAGAAAGGAAATTGGAAATTTTATTTTAGGTTGCAAGGATTCCAAATACTGGTCTTCATAGTACATTTGACATTGTCTTTGTGTTTTTTTCTTCCAGGTGGATGATGTTGACGAGGGTCTGTTGACTCAGTTGGCTTACAATGCCAGGGGTGACATCTGTCCCATGCAGGGGGTTATTGGAGGAATTACTGCACAAGAAGTGATGAAAGTATGATCAATTCATTTGAAAATACAAGTACACATATTATGTTGTGGTTCTGTTTTGTTGTTATTGTTTCCTAGTTTCGTTTTTTTTTGGTTATGGTGATGTTCACCCTTGATGAGTTAAAATAGAGAAAAATAACATAAATTATCAACCATTGATTGTCAGACCAAGGCTGTTTGAACTTCCTCCAAAGCTTTCATGATTGTATGTTTTTGTTTGAAGTGGTGGTCTTTGAGCATAATGCCATGTTCATTACTTGACAAGTCCAACATACATGTATACTGGTAATGGAAATTTCCCACTTTGACAATCTTTTGTTTCTTTGTTGTTGTCACTTTATTGTCAGCAAATAGAAAATCATAGAAACTGAGTAAAAATCTTCTACTTTTTGAGGTTGATTTGACTGTTAGTTGCCATTTACTCTGATTTTTTTAAGGCTTGCAGTGGAAAATTCAACCCAATCTTTCAGCTGCTGTATTTTGACAGTCTAGAGTGCTTGCCAGAGGAGGGAGACATTCCTGAAGCTTCATGCCAACCTGTAGGTTGATCAGTAAACATTAGAGTCAGAGTGTATGGATTAGTCACTATGGTGTAATACTTGTAAAGACAGGTGTGCATGAACACAGTATTGTATTAATTAAAGTGTTTTTTTTTTCCTTCCTTCAGACTGGATCAAGATATGATGGTCAGATTGCTGTTTTTGGACGTGAATTCCAAAAGAAGCTGTCAGATCAGAAGTTCTTCATTGTAAGTTTCTAACCATTATTTTGCTGAAATTAAAATTTTTGATTCGGTAGGTACAGTCTATGATTGATCTTTGTGTAATTGAATTCATAGGGTATTTAATCTTTGAGAATGGAAATAAGTTGTTACAGAGATGTGTGGATCAAACTCTATACTGTCATTTTTCTGAAATTAGATTTGGCAGTAATCAATGTGCATTTTATTCTCTTTGAATCTTTTCTTGCACCTTTTTCTACTTAGGTTGGTGCTGGTGCTATTGGATGTGAACATCTCAAAAACTTTGCTATGATAGGATTGTCTTGCAGTGGTTCAGGACACTTGTATGTCACAGATATGGACACCATTGAGAAATCAAACCTGAACAGACAGTTCCTGTTCAGACCGGCTGACGTCCAGGTACACTTTTGCACTCAGTTACATTGTTCACTTTTTATGCAGTTTTCAGGTTGTTATGGGAAAATCTGATGGTCTGGTGAATCAGTGTTTTACCTTAGATCTGGTTAAAGCTCAATCCCTGGCAGCAATCATTATGTAGTACGTGCATCCCTCAAAGGGCCTTTCTCTGCCCAGGAATATAAAAACTTGATGCGTGTCGACAAACTGTCTGTGATGGAAACCTGATGCATTGTGGGAGGTTTTTATTGTGACTGTTTCTCAAACAGTGTCCAATATACATGTATGTCAGTGTTGGCATTTTTCTTTAAATTTACTTTTTTTCAAAAAGATTATTGCATTGATAACAAAGTAAGTTTTTTTCATCTTAGTTTTTGCAAATTGTTTCTTGCCAGAAAATGAAATCAGAAGTTGCAGCCAGAGCAGTGAAAGTCATGAACCCAGAACTGAACATTACATCACACCAGAACAGAGTTGGACCAGAAACAGAAAGTATCCTTTACACTGCTGAGTAAATTCCATTCTTTGTTGGATTTGTTTCGGTGCCTTCAGTTTTTCATCAAACAGTTTTATACAATCCTTGTTTGCAATCTTCAATTGTATTGCTGCACGCACGTCAGCCAAATATCCAAAACTGGAACAGTCTCCTGATATCAAGGTAACCTTGGATACTGAGATATTTTCAATGACACTGGCACAATCTTGGAATGTAAGTAAGCAGAGAATTCATCAATTGGCAAGAGTAACAACAAATGAAAACCAGATTTTCAGCTCAAAAACTCGCTATAATTTGCTTTTCAAACTCCCGCCCAATGTCACTCAGATTTTTTTGCGGCGATGGCAAGAGGAGTGTGGAGAATTTCAATGTCTTAATGACAACAATATTTCCTTAACTGTAAAAGAAATATACAATGACGACTTCTTTGAAGCTCTTGATGGTGTTACAAATGCTTTGGACAACATTGATGCTAGTAAGTTTTCATGTCTTCCGCCTCAAGTTATTAGGTGTTGGATTTTTGACAACGCTGAGGCAAGAACAGTTGTCGTCCATTTGTTCTTCCCTTTTTTTCCCGAAAGGAATCATCTTTCACTTCGATCTATCTCGCCAGTAATGGCGTTTGATGTGAGTCCGCGGTTTGAGCAAGAAAGTATGGAATTACTTTTCTCACCACTGTTGGCTGGAAGCATTATAAACGACACCACTAATCAAAATTGTTTGTGTGTTCAGGATTGTACATGGACAGGAGATGTGTCTACTATCACAAACCACTCTTGGAATCAGGAACGCTCGGAACGAAAGGAAATGTTCAGGTACACATCAGACCTGGAAGCAGTACACGATCTCGTCTGTATTGACTTTACTCATGAAGAGTATCCTTACAAGAAAATCTTTCTGCCTGTCCTTGTTTTTAGGTTGTGCTACCTTTTGTGACAGAATCTTACAGCTCCTCACAAGATCCCCCAGAGAAATCCATTCCTATTTGTACACTGAAGAATTTTCCAAATGCTATAGAACACACTCTTCAGGTAAATGTGCATAATTTGGAAGAGAACAGTTTAATATGTCAACTGGACACTAATTAGACTGATACATGTATACATGTAACGACGCTGTACGATCTCTTCCAGCTTTTTTTAGGCAACTCTTTCGTAAAATTTACTGTAAAGAATCGAAACCTGACCGATATGTGAGACAGCAGTTTTATAGGTGTATTCAATGAGGCAACCTTTTCATTCCTAAGATTGACCAAAAATGAATTTCTCCTTAAAATTTCAAAGTTTTTTCAGGCAAAGAATTGACGAGAAAGAAAAATACCATCGAGAGTTAACGGGTGGTTTGATAATAAATCTCTGAGTTTGAATTAAAAGAAATGTGTGTTAGACAGTTGGGGCTGGTTGTTTACATGAGGTCTAACCCAACCTTCGCTTTTACGCAAGCAGTGGGTATCAGACTTTTCTGAAAGAGGGTTGACTTAATGAAATAAATGTCCTCCCACTATTAGCTTTTGGCCCTCTTGACACCGTTAATAATAGTAATACAAAATTTCTACAGCGCTCTGTACTATTCTAGAGCTTTAAGGCGCTTTGCAATAGAATGTTTAAAGCAGTAACTTGATGAATAACAAATTCGAAAAATACTAATTAAAAGCAAAACTATGTACAAATTGAAATAGCGCTTAAAAAGATAAGTTGTAATATTGCTTTTAAAAAGTGTAAGATTAAACTACATTTTACCTGCTCAGGAAGGTTATTCACAAAAATGAGTGTTCAGGTAAAAGGTTCGTCTAAATTGAAGATAAATAAAGGGTTAAGTTTCTAAAGAAACTGTGGTGCAGGGTCGGTGGGGGTAACAAGTTAATCTAGTTTTATCAACTAAGCTGTAATTGTAAATTGGCCACCGTAAAGAGTTAAAAAGCTGCCGCTTTTTTGCGGCTGCAAAACTCTTGAACAAAATTTATCTTTTAAATCGGCACTCTGAATTCCAAAGGAATCAACCAATGCTTTTCATTCTTCTAATTCATCCTTGTTTTTCTCGTCGCCATGTTTCCACCAATGGCATAGCTCCACTTTCTACATGTGAACGCACACACAACCCACAATTCCTCCATTCGCTCTGACGAAAGGCTAACGCTCGAAACGTCAGCTTTTTAACACTTTACGGCGGCCAATTTACAATTTCAACTTAGTTGATAAAACTGAATTGAAGGTGACTGAGAACGCGGATTTGCTAAACAAAGGCTAAACTTTGTTGAAATAACCAAGCATGGGAGTTTAAAGGTTAACTGAAATTTTTCCACATCTTTTTATATCCCTTTTATGAGATACGATTTTTTTTTTACCTAAGGCCATGCCACATTTTTACAATTTTGACATAAGATATCGTTATTGTGAGTTATTCCGTACGATGCATATCGTTTTGTTGAAGCAAATTTCATTTCTCTCCTGCAGTGGGCAAGAGATGCATTTGAAGGACTCTTTACTATTCCAGTGGAGAATGTCAACCAGTTTTTGAGGTGAGAGGCAAAGTCAAAAAAGTTTAGAACAGGAAAATGTCATCGGCTCATATACTCAAACCACAGGTGGCCCAAGCTCTGTTACAGGCTTTTTCACAGTGAATATTTAAAGAGTTTGTATAGTGGTTTAGTTGAACTTGCTACTGA